CGGGCCGGGGCTTGTATCTTACCCCCTTTGCAAGGCGCTGGGTTCTTGCAGGTGTGGATGTGGTCTGGATGTTGTCCTGTGTCCTGTGGTCTCTATTTTAGGAAGATTTTTCTTTGTTATATTTTCATAGCTCTATGTGTTTTTGGGAGGAGATTTCCACTGCTCTACTCACGCCGCCGTCCTGGCTCCGCCCCCTTGGGTTGCTCTTTTAATTGACTGTTCTGACATCTGGCTGCTCAGCTCTCAAGCTCAGCTTAACCCTTGACAAGTAGACCTTCAATTTAGTGTATTTCGTTAAATCTTTATTTTATTAAAAAAATATATAATTGGTTCCATATATATATATGGTTTTTCTATCTAGGAGTTTTCCCAAATAGAGATATGTTTTCTAGTAAAATCAACATGTGTCTGTTGAAAAATGGAAAACCAATGTACAAAGTAAAAAATTAAAAAATTCCTATTCCAGTTCCCATAATATGGTAATCAAATTGTTAACAGTTTTGTTTCTAACAATTTGGTATGTGTTTTAACTGTAAGTAAAGGACTCACAATTACAACTCTTTTCACTTGATATTCATTGTAGACATCTGCATGTGAATATTAAACTAAGTCTACCACCTTATTTTTAATGCTGTGTAGTCCACTGTATATGTATCCTACTTTTTTGTTTCACGTAGCATAAACCTCTTTCAAGTCATTAAAGACACCTGAGTTTTACTGGTTTTCCTATAATTTACCAAACCTTTTCAATATATTGAACATTAGTCAAGTGATATTGTATTTATTTGCCTTTTTTGTTTTTGTTGTTGATCAATATTTCATATGTTTATTAGGTATTTAGTTTTCTTTATGAATTGTTTATTCATGTCCTTTCACCATTTGTAAATTGCAGTGCTTTTCTTTTTAGTTTGGTATATTTTTTCTTTACTAAGGATTTCAAACCTTTGCAGTTCTAAAGTTACTTATTTCAGGATTTTACTAGTGTATTTTTTTTTTCACAGCAAAGAAGATAATTGAAACAATGAGTTCTTCAAAACTCTCAAATGTAGAAGTGAGTAAAGAAAATGTGTCTCGACCAAAGAGGGCCAAACGGAAATTATACACACATGAAATTTCATCCCCTATAGATATATCTGGGCAAATGGTAAGCTATTATCTCACTTTTCTTGAAGGTAGAACTGTTCGTTTTCTTTTCAGTTTTGAACGATTCATAGGAGTTTGAATTTTGTAATTTTTTTTTCCTTTATATCAAATCTCTTAAAATGCTTTAAATGATACACACTTTTGGTATCAGTTAAATGTTTAGTAATTAAATATAAATGCTGCATTAATGTATATAAGTGTCATGTGCATTTATGTTTGTAAATTCATGAGAGGAATTTTAATTCCATCAGTAAAACTAATACTATTTAGTAATTTATTTGCCTCTAACCTCAATTTTTTTGTTAATATTTATCACAAGAGTTATACAAATCTGGGCCTAAGTGTGCCTGGTAAAAATACAGAATTAACATTTGGTCATTTCCCCCTGCCTTTTGACCAAGTCTTCCAGATTCTATTAAGAAAAGACTGTAGTTTGTTACCCTGACTCTCTATGACCTATTCTCCACCTCAGAACAAGCTGTGCCATTAGAGGGAAAGTTCTAATTTTCTGTCATGCTCACATTTGTCTGGTAGATTAGAGTAAAGATGAAAAGTAATTAAAGGAAAAGCCTTAAACTGGAAACGGCCAAGAAAAGTCAGGAGAATCCTTTTGCAACAGTAGCCATCAGATACAAGATAGACATTTAAAAACAAGTGTAAAGAATTAGAATCAACTAGGACATGCTGTAGGTAGACTGTTCTCTTGGTCATTTTTCACCATTAGTCTGTTAAGTATATAATCTCCTCCCTTGGCTGAAATTATTTATTTTCTCAGTTGCAATATAATGCACTTTTTACTTTGTATGTTATATACTGTAGTCCTGCCTTATCCACAGTTTCAGTTACCTGTGGTCAGCTGAGGCTGAAAAACAGTCTTCCTTCTGACCTATCGTTAGAGGTCATTAGTAGCCTAACACTTCATTTACAATGCCTACGTCATTCATCTCACTTCAACTCATCACGTAGGCATTTTATCATCTCACAACATCACAGGAAGAAGGGCTTGAGTACAGTACAATAAGATAGAAGGAGACCATATCATAAAATTTTTATTAGTTCATTATTAAAATTGTTTAATTTTTTAAATTAATCTCTTACAGTACCTAATTTATAAATTAAATACTTTATGATAGATATGTCTGTATAGGAAAAAATAAAGCATATGTAATATTTGCTAATATGCTAGTACATGCTAATGTGGTTTCAGGCATCCACAGGGGGTCTTGGAGTATATCCCCTGAGGATAAGGTGGGGGACTATTGTACTTGTGAAAACCATTTCTTAAAAATTATTTGAGGCACTTGACTTTAAATATTTCAATACTATGCATGTCCTATATTTAATCCAAAGTATAGATTATTTTAATTTTAGAACTAGTGTTGAAAGATCTAAAAAATCTATTATTTTAGGCATGCTTATTTTGTAACTGAAAGTTTGTACTTTTTAATCTCCTTCATCTGTTTTGCCCATCTCTGACTCTTTTCCACACTGGCAATGACCAGTCTGTTCTTTGTATTCATGAATCTGTTTCCATTTGTTAGTTTTGTTATTTACATTCTACATATAAGTGAAATCTTATGGTATTTGTCTTCCTCTGACTTCTTTCAGGAAGCATAATACCCTCTAGCTCCATTCTTACTGTCACAAATGGCACAATTTCATTCTTTTTTATAGCTGAGTAATCCGTTTTCTTTATCCATTCATCTTTTGACTTTATACATCTTTACCCATCCATCTATCTATTGACACTTAGGTTGTTTTCATATCTTGCCTGTTGTGCATAATGCTGCAGTAACATAGTGTTGCATATATCCTTTTAAATTAGTGTTTTCATTTTCTTCATGTAAATACTCAGAAGTAGAATTATCAGCTTGCATGATATTTCAATTTTTAATTTTTTGAGGAACCTCCATACTGTTTTCCATAGTGACTGTACCAATTTACATTCCCACCAACGGTGCATGATGGTTCCTTTTTCTCCACCTCCTTGCCAATTTTTGTTATTTGTCTTTTTCATACTAGCTATTCTGACTGGTATGAGGTCATTTCTCATTGTAGTTTTGATTGCATTTCCATGTTAATTAGTAATTTTGAGCATCTTTTCATGTGTCTGTTGCCCATCTATATATCTATTCTTTGGGGAAATGTCTATTCAGGTCCACTGCCCATTTTTTAATCAGATTGTTGGTATTAAGTTGTATGAGTTCTTGATGTATTATGGATCGTAATCTCTTACTGGATATATATATCATTTGCAAGTATATTTTTCTATTCAGTAGGTTGCCTTTTTGTTTTTTTGATGATTCTCTTTGCTATGCAGAAGCTTTTTTGTTTTAATGTAGTCCAATTTGCTTATTTTTGTTTCTGTTGATTCAAAAATGCTTTCCTTGAGACAGATCCAGAAACATACTGCTAAGACTGATGTTCAAGTGTTTACTTGCCTATGCTTTCTTTTAGGAGTTCTATGGTTTCAGGACTTGGCATTTGTCTGTAATCCATTTTAAGATAATTTTTGTATATGGTATAAGAAAGTGGCCCAGTTTCATTTTTTGCATGTAGCTGTCCAGTTTTCCAGCACTGTTTATTGAAGAGACTGTCTTTTCCCTATTTTATATTCTTGCCTCTTTTATCATAGATTAATTGACTGTATAAGTGTGGGTTTGATTCTCTAGTCTGTTCCATTGAACTGTATGTCTGTTTTTTGTGTTAGTACCATACTGTTTTGATTACTATAGTTTTGTAGTATAGTTTGAACCCTGGTATTGTGATGCTTCCAGTTTTGTTACTCTTTCTCAAAATTCCTTTGGCTGCTCAGGGTCTTCTGTGGTTACATACAAATTTTAGGATTATTTGTTCTAGTTCTGTGCAAAATACCTTTAGCATTTTTTTTTATTAAGGTATCATTGGTATACAATCTTAATGAAGGTTTCACATGAACAACATGGTGGTTACAACATTCACCCATATTATCAAATCCCCCACCACACCCCATAGCAGTCACTGTCCATCAGTGTAGGAAGATGTTGTAGAGTCACTACTTGTCTTCTCCATGCTATACTGCCTTCCCTGTGACCTACCTATATTGTGATTGGAAATTATAGTGACCCTTAATCCTCTTGTCCCTCAACACCCATCCTCCCCAGCCCCTTCCCTTTGGTAACCACTGGTTCCTTCTTGGAGTCCATGAGTCTGCTGCTATTTTGTTCCCTCAGTTTTGCTTTGTTGTTATACTCCACAAATGAGTGTAATCATTTGGAACTTGCCTTTCTCCTCCTGCATCATTATTTCACTGAGCATAATACCTTCTAGCTCCATCCATGTTGTTGCAAACGGTAGGATTTGTTTCCTTCTTATGGCTGAATAATAGTCCATTGTGTGTATGTACCGCATCTTCTTTATCCATTCATCTACTGATGGACACTTAGGTTGCTTCCATATTTTGACTATTGTAAATAGTGCTGCAGTAAACATAGGGGTGCATATGTCTTTTTGAATCTGAGAAGTTGTTTTCTTTGGGTAAATTCCTAGGATGGGAATTCCTGGGTTAAGTGGTATTTCTATTTTTAGTTTTTTGAGGAACCTCCATATTATTTTCCACAATGGTTTAATTTACATTCCCACCAGCAGTGTAGGAGGGTTCCCTTTTCTCTGCATCCTCACCAGCATTTGTTGTTTCTTGTCTTTTGGATGTTGGCCATCATGGTGTGAGGTGATATCTCTTTGTGCTTTTAATTTGCATTTCCCTAATGATTAGTGATGTGAAGCAGCTTTTCATATGCCTGTTGGCCACCTGAATTTCTTCTTTGGATAAATGTCTGTTCATATCCTCTGCCCAGTTTTTGGTAGGGTTATTTGCTTTTTGGGTGTTGAGGCATGTGAGCTCTTTATGTATTTTGGATATTAACCCCTTACTGGATAAGTTGTTTGTGAATATATTCTCCCATCCTACAGGATGCCTTCTTGTTCTATGGATGGTGTCCTTTGCTGTACAGAAGCTTTTTAGTTTGATGCAGTACCATTTGTTCATTTTTGCTGTTGTTTCCCTTGTCCAATGTTGTTCAGCAAAAAGTTGCTCATGTTTATATTCAAGAGATTTTTGCCTTTGTTTTCTTCTAAGAGTTTTATGGTTTCATGACTTAGATTCAGATCTTTGATCCATTTCGAGTTTACTATTGTGTATGGGGTTAAATAGTAATCCAGTTTCATTCTCTTGCATGTAGCTGTCCAGTTTTGCCAACATCGGTTGTTGAAGAGGCCACCATATCCCCATTGTGTATCCATGGCTCCTTTATCCTATATTAATTGGCCATATATGTTTGGGTTTATATCTGGGCTCTCTATTCTGTTCCATTGAGCTATGGATCTTTTCTTGTGCCAGTACCAAATTGTCTTGATTACTGTGGCTTTGTAGTAGAGCTTGAAGTTGAGGAGCTAATCCCCCCAGCTTTAGTCTTCTCAGGATTGCTTTGGCTTTTCGGAATGTTTTGTAGTTCCATATATATTTTACAACTATTTGCTCTAGTTTGTTGAAGGATGCTGTTGGTATTTTGATAGGGATTGCATTGAATCTAGATTGCTTTCTGCAGGATAGCCATTTTGACAATATTAATCCTTCCTATCCTTGAGCATCGGAATTATTTCCACTTATTGGTGTCTTTAATTTCTCTCATGAGTATCTTGTAGTTTTCATGGTATAGGTCTCTTACCTCCTTGGTTAGGTTTATTCCTAGACATTTTATTCTTTTTGATGCAATTGGAAATGGAATGTTTTCCTGATTTCTCTTTCTGGCAGTTCACTGTTAGTATACAGGAATGCAACAGATTTCTGTGTATTAATTTTGTATCCTGCAACTGCTGAATTCAGTTACTCTAGTAGTTTTGGTATGGATTCTTTTGGGTTTTTTATGTACATTATCATGTCATCTGCAAACAGTGACAGTTTAACTTCTTCCTTACAAATCTGGATGCCTTTTATTTCTTTGTATTGTCTGATTGCTGTGG